AGTGGTTAGAGCGCGGATTTACTGGCCGGAAGGTCCGTGGTTCGAACCCCATATCTGCCTCTCGACTTCCCCTGTCCAGACTTGGGCAGCCTGGCAGTATCCCAGTCCTCGTGCTTCTTTCGGATAGGATGGCAACTAGGCACCGAAAGGGTGATGCAGATGAACGAATACAATGGCTTCCACAAGCTTTGTACAGCGCTCACACTTCGTGATGGCCATGATGTATTAAAGATTGTCCCATACGGATACGCTACGCTTCCATAAAAAAGAAAGATTGCACATATGGACACATGTGCATATACTGACATTTGTCTGTGCACTCCGTTATTCCTTAGACTCTTGAAATAAACAAAAAATAATAGAATCTTCGAATCTGAAGTATATATCAAGAGCTACCCCATCATTCGCCACTTTTAACTTCAGAACACCACAATCAACTGTTTAATTGAGAGGATATCATCGTAAACAATTGAGAACATTTCAGTACTACATTCACTTGTAAGATTTTACACTCTGGTTCACAAAATAGTCAGTGAAATTCACTGTCGGAGAATATCGTGCTGTTCCACGTTGCGCAATTTCAGTGGGGACTGTTTGTTCCAAAGCCTCGTCAAAACGGTGGAGTTTTGACCCATCTAGCGAACCGATCCATTTTTTTTATGTGTTCCTAGCATTCACCGTGGACAGTGAAGACAATATACCTGGCTACCCATTTTCATCGACAGTGGGCTGTCCCTTGTTTAGGTGGTGAATGTTGACGAGCTTCCTAAAGCGCACCTAAACCCTAAACTATCTTTGAGGTTGTCCGAAGGATACCTCACCTAATTAATCCTTGTTCAGGGGCATGCTTACAACTTGCACGACGGTGGTGACAAGTAACGTTGAACTGCCTTTCCAAGTGTCCAGTGTATTCAACAGCGCACATATGATTTCCGTATTTCGAAGTGCAAATGCGAACAAGGCGGAGTCAAATATAACGGCGTTCGTGGGTCCGGATAGCTCAGAGGTTAAGGCGAAAAATTGACTAAAACGTTCATGTTCGAATCCAATCATAGACTCCCGATGGCTCCTGTCTAAGTTTGGGCAACCTGGCATTATCTCAGGCCTCACACTACCTTCGCATTGCACGTAAGCTACGCTCTGAAGTGGTGCCACGCCCGAACGAGTGTTCACTGACTCCAATGGTGGTCCGTCAACGCCCCTGGTGCCCTGCTTAGATCGGTAATACACTGAAATAGGCGCACTGTTTGCGACAACCCTTCGAATAACAGTCTAGCTGGACTCCTACGACACAGAACCACGCCTGCGAATGGACTCTTCACGAGAAATAGAATGCGGGATATCATTACCAGAACACGAAAAAACACCACAGTATATGCATCTGGCTCTCTGAAAAGAAGGCAGAGAATCCCCGGCTACCAATCTGATAAAACCTCTAACTGTTACATCGGGTGAGAAACTGTCTGCGAAATGGAAAGCATCGACACTAACTTGTGTTTACAAAAAGGCACGCGGACACTGTGAAAACCACCGTTGCGTGAGCTTGGTAGTTGTGGTATCGAAGATGCTTTCCAGTCTCATCCTTCAAAGGTTGACCGAACCCACAAAGAGGTAAATCCGTGAAAACCACGCTGACTTCCGTCCTGCAGTAAGATGCATGGATCACATTTTCACTCTCCAACAGATAATGGAACAGCGAAACTGCCACCAGAAACCAACAATGGTGGTCCTCCTTGACATGAAAGTTGTCTTTGACTCTGTGGACTAACGGACAAGGTGGTGGTGTTGTCCTTGTAAATTCATCGCTCTCCTTAAAGCACCCTACATCTACCGGGAACACCTGAAGGTCTACGGGAAGCTGTCGCCTGAGTTCACTACATCAAGTGTTGTCAGGCAAGGTTTTCATCTTTCCACCTTAACTTCGTCAATGAGATGATCATGCAGCACTCACTCTCAGACTCTAATATTTGTGTGGTCGAAATGCTACGAGGACGTTTATTCATTGATAACGAGTAAACAGCTCTCACTGGAACTGATGCTATCGTAATGGAGGCGACAATAAATAATCTAAATACTTCTTACGCACGGTTTGGCATGTGCTGCATACCTCCGAAGTGTAAAATGCTGCAGCAAGACTGGGTGGGCTCGAATCCGAACCTCATGCTTGCAGACGATATATACTGGACACATTGACCTACCTGGCTAGTTGTATCAGCCCCGGTGGTTTAGCCAAAGACGATACTCCCATCCGGATTGGGAAACACAGAACAGCTCTTGTGAACCTGTATCAGCTGTGGTGCAGACGTGACATAAGCTTATCTGTCAAGGGTCCGATTTGCAATGCTACAGCGCGCTTCAGTTTGTTATATATGAGCCAGAAACCTATCCGGTGCGCCGTGAGGACGTTGAACAACATTAAGTGTTTGACAACCGGTGTCCCCGCATCACTGCCCAAGTCTGTGGCGAACATCGGAACAGCCCATAACACGTGGACTGATCACACTCCACAAGTTGCTCCCGCTTGACAACACGTTTTGCATTGCAGTTTACCGACTTCCTCGAAGAGTAATTTCTGTACCACTGTGCGGAGGGTGGAAATGAGAAAGGGATCGGGAACCCGAGCGGGGAAACATCGATGCTTGGAGACAGTGACATAGTCCACTCGCGCGCTCAATGACGCCCATGCAGACAGTGTTTTCTGCGATTCATAGCCCCCCCCCCTAATCTCCTCAATGCAAAGTCCACTGTAAATGCGTGATTCATGCATCAGCTACATCAGTTAATGCCTCCAGAGCGTATCTGCCCACACATATCTCTCCTGATCATCAGGGAACAAAACGCTCCAAAAAATAACCACTGTGAAACATGTACGTGATTTTCACGGCTAAAGATGATGACTGACTGAGTGGTTGCAGGAACTCGAATGTCGGGAAAAGCGAAAATTATGGCGAAAACTGGCATACGGAATGCACAATTCACATTCAAGAGGGCTTGCAAAAATCTGATTCACACAGAACATTCCCAGCGATGCAAACAGAGGTCATGCCATCTAGGACCGTTTACACATCGTTGTCCGTGTATGCATCCTGACACAAGCAGCAGTCAACAAATGCCTGAATAGTAAGCGATCCTTGCACCCATCAAAGTAACTAGTTTGATTACTCTGACGAAGAACCGCAGCTGTGAAAGGCTGTAGCGTTAAGAGAGTATAACGCATCACTAGCAGATTTACAGCTCATTGTCAAACGTCACCATTAACGGATTGGCTAACCTGTGTGCGAATTCCATTGACTCACTTCCAGCTAATGGTACATACTGTCAAACACTTTATTCACAAGCGGAACCCAAACAGACCTAACGAACGCACAAACCTTTTGAATCTGGTTTCTGTGCTAGCTGCATTCCAACAGGCGGTGTGGTATGTTGCTTCGGCCGACCAGCTTCTAGGATCTTGTGTGTGTCCCGTGCATAGTAGACCATGGTGATGAACTGGTGTACAAGACGCAGAAGTGGTAGGTTAATGTGCAACCGGAGCGACTCGATATTGGACATCACATCAAGCTTGGTGGTCGTGGGTGTAATGTCCAACTTTTGGTTGGAACTATCCATCTGAAAAAGAGGTAAAGAACATTCTGATAAACCTCATTGTGGACCATTTAGTGCACACATCTGGAGCATTATAACCTACCAATTCAGATGAGACCGATCGAGGAAGATCTGTGAGGCTAACCGACCTGCGAATTCGGTCAACCAGAAACAGATACTATTCCCATTAGTACAAATGCAGTAGGACCTTGTGGATCACAGCGATAAAATCGTTCTGTTTTACTGGGCATTAGACGGTCCGTGACACATTGGAAACGTGACTATTTGTATACCGGCCCCGGACCACCGTGTGTTGACAAAATTCGTGCAGCTATGGGATTCCAGAGTCATGACAGTACGTTAACGAAATAGGGTCACAGTTGTTCGGATTCCAGTACTGCCCTTTTAGGTCTTCAATTTGCCCAGTAAAAACTAGCGTAACAATACTGTGGACAAGAACTACCTTAGTGAAAATTTGCAGCCATGTGGTGTAGACTAAGAGAACCAAAATAACCTGATTTCACTTATATGGCTTGGAGCCACACAAACGAGGAACCCGATGGTCAAAGAAAACCTGCCGAAAGATTTCACCTGCAGAAGTCAGTTCAGATCAACAGTTCAATGTGGTGTCATCGACCTATTAGCCTAAGACGGTCTTCTATCCATCATCTCCATCCAGTGACCAAATTGTACTTTCAAAAGGCCCAGCATGTTCTGAAGACTATCTTCCTCCACAATATGCAAACTAACGGTATCGCTATATAATTATTCCGTAAAATATGTTGCGCAACCCAGCCAAGCTTATCCAAACGTTGGATCTCTGATGGGGCCGTGGAGGCCCGGTGATAGATTCTTCCTGGCCGCAACCACAACTCAACTCGACGCATCATCAGATGCCAGGACAAACTGATTGTCCGTCGGGAAATCTTGGTCGATCAGAAAGACTGAAGAATGTGAAATGCCCGCAGGATCTTCCACTTATTTCGTCCGACTGGTCCTCGGAAGCGAAATGGTTGCCTGATATCCAACAAAGCAGACCGCTTGGACCGGTGGGCAGAATACTTCGCACAACAATTCATTTGTCCGCCTGCTAACTCTAATTCAGGCTCTCAGCCTTCAACAGAAAAGTGAACTGAAACCTTCATCAGTTTCAGAAGTATCCGATCGAATATCTCTACTCAAGCGTCGTCGGATGCTGGTCCTGTAGAGCTTTCACCGGTTCTATTGAAAGATAGCAGTGAATTACTCAGTCAGTGCCTGTCTAGCTTGTTTGTGCTTAACTGAGAGAAAGAGACCGTTTTAGATAACTGGAGACCTTCAGCCATATCAAGTCAAGCTGTTTTCAAGTTTGCGCAACCATCAACATGGACGACCACTCGTCTCCTAAAAATGCATACAAAAGTAAGCGTGCAGACGCACAGCTGACAATAGTGCATAATTTCGAAAAGATTACTCACAGTGAATGTGGCAACCGCAGAGGTATTCCTTTGACTCCCTTGTAACAAGGCTACTAGCGTCACTGACCCTCCGGGGTCTCATTGAGGCATGCGGACCCTTGATCCGTGAGCACCAAGCCGGATTTTCACCGGCCAATTCTTCACAGTACACCAGATGTTCTGGCAACACCGTATGTACAGACGACCACAACCTTGGCATGCTTTGACGTCAAAGGTGCGTTCGATTCTGCCGACCCGTCAGTGCTGTGAACCACACTTACTCAACAGGGTACGCCCAAAAGTTTCTGAATATAATTCTGTCCCTATATTCACATACATCCAAAAGCTTCCATAGAAGAAGTGGTGTCCGACAAGGATGTCCGCTCGCTCCGTCCTAGTTCAACTTCGTCATTGATGAAGAAAAGTCTGGAAGGTCTTCAAACCGTTGCTAATCAGAGTCTTATCGATCTGGAGTACGCAGACGACATCGCCCTCGTCTTTGAACATGAAGGCAGAGCACAAGAATTGTCAAATAAACTAGCCAACATGGTACCATATTTCGGCATGCACCTTCAAAGTGCAAAGTCATGCTTCAGAACCCCTTACAATTGAAGGGGGTCGTTCGAGTCAAAAGTGTGGTCGGATAGACTGAATGTACAGAAAGTGTCTAATAGTACCAGGAGCAAAAAAAAACAAGTAATATAACGAATTACTCCAACCAGGATAACGCCAAAGCGTACTTACA